GTGTGTGTGTGTGTGTGTGTGTGTGTGTGTGTGTCCTACATATATATACCTACATACAATACAGTCTTACGTACAAAGCGCCTGACAATGAGGTCACGTGGACTTCAAGTGTGCCATGGATGTATGTATGTATGTATGTATGTATGTATGTATGTATGTATGTATGTATGTATGTATGTATGTATGTATGTATGTCACTTCTACCCATCGCCATACGTGTTTCATACAGGATACAGTCTTGGTATCTGACTAGAATAGAGAAGTCGTGATTGGGGGTCAACGTTGTTTAATCGGTATTTGAGTGGCTGAGTGACCGAGTGGCTGAGTGACCGAGTGGTTGAGTGACCGAGTGACTGAGTGACCGAGTGAGTGATTGACCGAGTGACTGGATTACCGAGTGACTGGATTACCGAGTCAATCAGTTTATGGAATTTTGGAGAGAGGGTAAAAATCGCAGTTAGAGCATCTGTTTTACTTATTTCACAGGTGTAACAAGAAGCACCTGTCTACTGAGCTCTCACCTGTTTTAATGAACGACAGGTGTGTTATGTCTGTGTTTTTTTTTTGTGTATATTGTCCCGGCGTTTGAATGGTGTTTTATTTTCATTGTTTTTGTTTTTTATTCCCTTGATCACATTTTATACTTGTCTAGTCAACGTGGTACAGGTGTGTGTGTGTGTGTGTGTGTGTGTGTTGGGAAGGATGGAGGGAGGTGGGGCGGCAGCGAGAGAGGCCGGCAGGGAATTACCGCCTGCTTAAACCTTAAAAGGCCCTAGGATGCCTTTCAACGTCCACCCGCGTCCAAACTCAAGGAATCTATCTCCACTTATCTATACACCTCTCTCACTTTCCTCACACTGTACTGTAAAGCGCTCCACCTCTCTATATACCATGCACTATATCTCCATCCATCGAGACACACCATAGAACCATTCCTAAGAACATAGCAGCAAAGTTCGTGGTTGGTTTTGTTGAGATAAACTTGAGGTCAGAACTGGATGTGGATTTTCTTTCAAGTTACCCCTTTAAAGTGAAGTATTTGTGTGTTTTTGTTCGTTTTCTGTGAAGGAAATGGTGTCAACGTGAGAGTCGGCCAGAACAATGCTTAATAGGGGTTGAGTCGCTGACGGCACAAACCAGATCAAGCCGGATGTAGTCGAACTAGGTCAGGCTAGGCCATCTAAGCTCAGCCTATTCTTAGCTAGACCATGGCTAGATCATCCGAGCGTCAACTATCCCAATTCATCCCAGAACGAACCAACCGAGACGAGACTGTTTAGCGGTTTAGCCCCAAGACCAACCAACCAGCCAACACTGATTTCCTCCTCCTTATCAAACTATCCCAACCTATCCTCACCGCGTCCCCAACCTGTCCTACCCTAATTTACCCATAGGTCGTATCAGCCCATCTAACCTAACCCACCAAGTTATCCAAAGTAGTGGCACAGTATAATAATGGTTGCCCCTCGTGTAACGAGGATGGCCGGCCCAAGGGCCACCTAGGCGTGAATTTGTTAAAGAAGCTGTCGCCAACACAACAACCACACCCTAAGTTAACGAACTGCATGACCCAGTGTCAAGGAATAGTCCGAGAAGACCGGACAACTCGCCAACTGCACTGGCCAACCATTACCCCTGGATGTAAATGGATTTGCGGATCACAAATCGATTTACATCCAGGTTCCCAATTACTGCTGGGTAGACAGAGGCAAATGGCGTAAAGAAACTTGTCAAAATAGGTTTGATTCAGTCACATACAATATAACAAAATACCACCGCCAAAATACCACTACCTAAAATACCCCCTAAACAAAATTAAAACACTTGTGGTTTATTTTTAATAGGTGTGTGTGTGTGTAGGTGTAGGTGTGTGTGTGTGTATGTGTGTGTAGTGTGTGTGTGTGTGTGTGTGTAGGTGTGTGTGTGTGAGTGTGTAGGTGTGTTGTGAGGTGACAAGTGTTGGTGTCTCACTCACACAGTAATATACCTTTTCGGTTATAAAAGTTTAGAACACAGATAAATGACAGTTTATAGTAAATAACTGATGTTTATAGAAAAAAATAAAGAGTTAATAGAAAAGATAATCAAAGTTTATGATAACCAAAGAAAATATATTGTAAAAAGACGGAAAGTTTGCGGTAAAGTAGTCAAAGTTTCCGGAAAAAAATATATATGAATATTTTCACGCGAAGCATTTCATTGATATGGTATCTACGAACTTTTTAAATAAAATTAAATATTTTTTTGCTAATATAAATTTTTCCGTAAGACTGTTGGTTATAAAGCATGGTTTCCCACCTCCCGGGCGTGTGGTCAGTGTGGTCAGCTGAGGTTAACTTGGGTCATGTCATCTCTACAATGTTTGATACACGTGATATGTTATCGAGTCTACTGACGTCATTCTCTTCATTATTATGTATATTTTCCTTCTCTATTGTTTCTCCTATCACTTTCTCCTGCCTGTATTTATATTTCCTCCCCCCTAATGCTTCTATATATCTCTCTGTCTATCTGTCTGTAATCTTTTGTTTCTTCCTCCTACCCCCTATATGGATCAGTGTCTACCTTTTCTTGGTAAACAGTGAGAGGAAGGAGGAGCGGAAGTGGTAGGTGTTGCCGGAGTTGTAGGCGTCGTCCATCTGCCGTTGATGATCCAGCTCCTGTTTGCTGTTCTCGTGGTGATGCATATAGTTCGCCCTCTTATCAGGACGGAGGTACATGGTGCCCTGCAGAAGGTCGGAGTTAAGGTTGGGGTGGGAGAGGTAGGAGTCGGTGATGGAGTTGCTGGTGTAGGTATGGTTGAGGTTCTGCACGCTCAGAGAGTCGCGCCGCCCTCCCCTCCTGCCATCGTATACGTTCTCCACCGTGGACTTATTGGACGCCTCGTCCACCATGATGCTGATGGAGGGCAGGACGGAGCTGGAGACGCTCTTGTTGCGAGTCAGCTGACCTCGAGGGGCCTTGTAGAGGCCCTCGTGTGAGCTGCCCTGGTCCCTAGCATTTCTTCTCCAGTAGGCCCCCATGAGGGGCGGGGAGGGGGCGTTGCCCGGATCGGTGGGCATGTTGACGAGCACTGAGCACACCGTGTGTCACTCACATGCTGCCCGAGGCCATATTTGACACACACACACACTTGGACGGTCACGCACGAGGCGACACTATCGACGGAGGGCACCTATATCACAGTAAGTGGACATGATCGTCCTCACTGGGCACGGGACGGAAGGTGGACAGGAGCTTCTAACACCCGCCAAGCGCTCCCAGGAGGCAGGTGAGCTCAAAACACATGTACACACTTGCACCACCAACCATGGCCGCTGCTCTGTCTCAATAAGGACTGACAACGTTTAACAATAAAATAAGTTGACGTGAAGGAGGCGGTGGTGGCGGCTGACACACACAAGGCACTGAGGGAGGCACCTGGTCACACTGGCGGGCGGGCGGGGGGCCGGGCCGCCCAGCACTGCCTAGGCTGCACCACCAATCCTATTAGCGATATTAAAGTGGACGGGCGGGGGAGGAGTGAGTGCGTGCGTTAGTGCGTGTGATGCGTGCGTGCGTATGTGCCAGGGAGTGAGGGGAGCGAGGAGGCCGGTGGTGGCACACATAACGCAGGGCACACCCATGGGGAAGCCCCTCAAGGCTGACACAGCCCAACACCTCTTATGGCACCGCACCTCACCTGCCTCTCTACCTCACCTGGGCCTCCACCTCACCTGAGCCTCCACCTCACCTGGGCCTCCACCTCACCTGGGCCTCCACCTCACCTGGGCCTCCACCTCACCTGGGCCTCAGCCTTACTCTTACTGTGTCCCCACTCGTCATTATTCTTGTTTATCTTAATATTACTTCTTCTCCACCACAACCTCCTTCACCCCCACCGACCTCCTTCACAACCTCCTTCACCCCCACCGACCTCCTTCACCCCCACCCTCCTCACCCCCACCGACCTCCATCACCCCACCGATCTCCATCATCATCACCCCCACCAGCCTCCTTCACCCCACCAACCTCCTCACCCCCACCACCTCCTCCACCCCCCACCACCCCAACCTCCCACCCACCAACCTCCATCACCCCCACCAGCCTCCATCACCCCCACCAACCTCCATCACCCCCACCAACCTCCATCACCCCCCAACCCCCATCACCCCATCACCCCCCCCCACCCCCTCACCCCACCAACCTCCATCCCCCACCAACCTCCTTCACCCTCACCAACCCCACCCCCCACCAACCCCACCAACCTCCATCACCCCCCACCAGCCTCCATCACCCCACCAACCTCCTTCCCCCACCAACCTCCATCACCCCCACCGACCTCCAGCACCCCACCAACCTCATCACCCCATCAACCACCACCCTCCATCACCATCCCCCACCAACCTCCATCACCCCACCAACCTCCATCACCTCCATCACCCCCCACCACCTCCACCAACATCACCCCCACCAACCCATCACACCAACCTCCATCCCCCACCAACCTCCATCACCCTCACCAGCCTCTCAACCCATCACCCCCACCAACCTCCATCACCCCACCAACCTCCATCACCCCACCAGCCTCCCTCACCCCCACCAACCTCCATCACCCCCCACCAACCCCACCAACCTCCACACCCCCACCAACCTCACCATCCACCCACCAACCTCACCAACCTCCTCCCCACCAACCTCCATCACCCCCCAACCTCCTTCACCCCCGACCAACCTCCATCACCCCAACCTCCATCACCCAACCCCATCCCCACCCATCCATCACCCCATCCGCCTCCATCACCCCCACCACCTCCATCACCCACCAACCTCCATCACCCCCATCACCCCAGCCTCCATCACCCCCACCAACCTCCATCACCCCCCACCAACCTCCATCACCCTCACCAACCTCCATCACCCTCACCAACCTCCATCACCCCCACCAACCTCCATCACCCCCACCAACCTCCATCACCCCACCAACCTCCATCCACCCCCCATCAACCTCCATCACCCCCCCTCCATCACCCCCACCACCCCCCTACCCCCCCACCCCACACCTCCATCCACCCCCCACCCCCACCACCTCCATCACCCCCAACACCACCTCCATCACCAACATACTAATTTATATAATAACTCCAGTAATTAAATAGATCTTTATCTCGGTCAATTTAACTAATTATTTGGTGTTTTTTTTTCAACAAACGTCACAGGAGAAATGTTCTTTAAATTATCAACTTCTATCACAAGACTCGTGAATTTTTATTATTTCTAAATCGAATTTGTGTTAAAATTGTGTAACTAACATTTAAAACAAGTTAAAGCATCCTATCCTAACCTAACCTAACCTAACCTAACCTAACCTAACCTAACCTAACCTAACCTATAATATTATCTTAGTTATGTCAGGTAGAGGAGGCTGGGTTTAGTTGCTTAGTTAGGTTTATCCGTTTGATTGAGTTTTACCTGATTTAATTAGTCGTACCTGTACTGAGGAGTGCACGACACCTGAGCCGCCATGATGGATGTGGACCACGATACTAATCTACAATATTACCCGAATAATTATTACAGGGTTACAGCGGCATGTAGGCCTACCGTGCAGATGTACCCGCAGACAGGTGTAGTGTGTGCAGATGTCATACAGAAGCTGTCTTGTCCTACACGCAGTCAGATGAAAACACTGTGGGTAGGCCTATACAATCAGATGGCAACACTGTGAGTAGGCCTATACAGTCAGATGGCAACACTGTGAGTAGGCCTATACAGTCAGATGGCAACACTGTGAGTAGGCCTATACAGTCAGATGGCAACACTTTGGGTAGGCCTATACAGTCAGATGGCAGCACCACTTTGGGTAGCCTTATACAGTCAGACGGCAACACTGTGTAGGCCTATACAGTGAGATGGCAACACTTTGGGTAGGCTTACAGTCAGATGGCAACACTGCGGGTAGGCCTATACAGTCAGATGGCAACACTGTGGGTAGTCCTACACTGTCAGATGGCAACACTTTGAGTAGGCCTACAGTCAAATGGCAACACTTTGAGTAGGCCTACAGTCAAATGGCAACACTTTGAGTAGGCCTACAGTCAAATGGCAACACTTTGAGTAGGCCTACATGGTAAGATGGCCTACTATTTTCTTGGTAATGCTGATTAATTTAAGTTTATTACCACACAAAATAATAATAATAGTAATAGTAGTAGTAGTAGTAGTAGTAGTAGTAGTAGTAGTAGTAGTAGTAGTAGTAGTAGTAGTAACCCGCGGAGTACCGAGCAAATAATACCCAACGGACGACCTAACAATTAAAGGGACGCGGACTATCTCTCTCTTCATCAGCACCAAAATGAACGCCAGTAACGTGCTCCAGCGGCTGGTCGTTAACGCCACAATATTACCTTAATAACGCCACAACAACGCCCCCCCCCCTCCCCGCCCCCCACCATCGTTTACATACTATTAAAAGACTAAGTAATGTAAATACAGATGTAACGAGAGATAAGATAGGAGAAAATACGTGTGTGTGTGTAACGATGATGGTGACGATGATAGTGACGATGATGATGACGATGACGATGGGTGACACGAGTATAGGGCTTCAAAGTCTCTCCTCACTCCCCCCCCCTCCCCCCTCACTGGCCCAGATGGTTCGCTAAGCAGGTCAAGACTCGCACCAGCTGGAGTGATGACCGCCTCCACAGATGGCATATGACAACCACCTTATTCTTCCCTTTAAATGTGACAAAAACAATAAATCTTGTGTATTATTGATTATTGTTTGAGGGGAGGGGGGAGGAGGGGGGTAGGAGGGGGGAGGAGGAGGGGGATGAGGGGAGGGGATAGGGGGGGCAGCTCCGACAGGGTTAAATAAGAGAATCTCGTCAACACAACAAAAGACATCAATGGGTAATGACGAGTAAGATGACGTCACAAGATGAGCCAAGACGTCATACATGAATAAGCTCCTGGTTGGCTGATTCTAACGACTGACTGACCAATGGCAACACTTTCTTACCATCGTTCCTCCTCTAAATAATAACAAAAGAAGTGTAGATTACGTCATTCTCTAACAACCAGAACAGAAAGTAAATATTCTTAACAAAAAACAAGCAAAACCAAACAAAAACAAACAAAACCAAACAATTAACGGTGTTTTAAGCCTGTGAAGTGGGTCAACAAATGGTCTGCCACTCAATTTTTTTTAAGGTAACCACGAGAGAGAGAGAGAGAGAGAGAGAGAGAGAGAGAGAGAGAGAGAGAGAGAGAGAGAGAACAACTCAAATCACATTTCCCCCAGACAAACTTTCTTCCACTTAAGGACAGCTGAGTTTGATAACTTTCCCTCGAATTAGTTTTAAAGTTTTGTTAAATATAGATTATATAACTTCATCTCTACCTTAACCTAACCCCTCTAACACTAACCAAACCTCCTCTACCTTAACCTAACCTCATCTTACATAACCTAACCAAATCTAACCTAACCCAACCTAACACTAACCTAACCTACCGCTAACCAAACCAAACCAAATCTAATCTAACCTAACCTAACCTAACCTAACCTAACCTAATCCACCTTGAGCTTCTAATCTTATTCAAACTTCAATGACTAATATATCACCACTTCAAATATTTACCTACAATACCTTGATTTAAACTTTAATTAACCTACAAATTACAATTTCTATCCTGGTGGGAGTTTAACCCATATAGAAACTGATAAAACACATTGATAAAACTAAATAATGGTTTAATGTATACAAAAAAAAAATCATTACTAATATGTCTAACTCACAACTGAACTCGTGTGTGTGTGTGTGTGTGTGTGTGTGTGTGTGTGTGTGTGTGTGTGTGTGTGTGTGTGAGTACATTTATCAACACAAACAGTCATGTCCCCCCCCCTCCCCTCCCACACCTGTTCTGTTATTCCACCTGACATTTCGTCGTCGCAGGTATAAACACACCTGATTAATACTTCAGGTGTGTTGAAGCCCCAAAATGTCACTTGTGTGTGTACATTTATAACGCTCACACCTGTCTGTACGTGTCCCCTTAACTGACAGCAATTCCGTTTATATGTGAGGCCGTTAACAGGAATCCCGTTTAAAATGCATAACCCCGTTAACTCCTATTCCCGAGTTAAGTTAACAGGAAAACCGTGTTCATTGTAAGTGGTGGTTAATTACTTCCTCACCTGCCCTTACCTGGGTAACATCAATCCTCTTCCCCTTCCTTCCTCTTTCTTCCCCTTCTTCTTTCCCCTTCACCTCTCTCTCTTCTCTATTTTCCCTTCCTATTCTTAC